AATAATTATAATAATAATAATAAAAAATCCTATTAGAAACAATAAGGAAGCACTGAGAGTTTGAGTATTACACTCTTCAAGTATGCTGTTCGGATTTTTTAAATCTGTGAATATACATATATTAAAAAAAACCTTAAAAGTGCGACCAAGGGCTTCTGCTTAAAGGTTAAGTATCTCAAGGACTACTTCAGAATACTGTAGCACAACTGTGCAGTTACTGTGCATGGCATGAGGCTTCCACTCCACACACTCAGCCAAGTTAGCCAGAAGGTTACTGAAGTCAGGTTAGCGCAACGGCGAACCCAGATGCTGAGCTGGGAAAGAGATCCACACACTGTTGGCCTTTTTTTTTTTTCTCTTGTTAAGGAAAGAAACCACTCTGAACGCATACGTTTGGACATGGAATGTGAGCAGACTTCACAGTAAAAGTTTAGTGTTACAGGTTTGCTGTGGTACCATCGTTCAAGGCTGTGCACTAGATCGAGCTTTGCTCATCTTAAGCTACCCACGGTCTCTTCTTCCTGACAGGTTTAGTACAGTAGTTCAAGCCACAATTTGAATTGCCCATTGGTATGCTCCGAATTTCTGTCACTTTATTCGTTTTTCTTTTGTACACCTTTAAAGAACCTTAAGATTTGCATCCAAAGAGAACCATGCTACATAAAAATTATCCAGGATTCTCGCCAAAAGAGTTCTTGAATAAAATCTAAAAAATACTATTGCAATGCATCTCGCAGAGAAAAAACGTTATTCTAAATGTAAACAAATTCACTCGGACACTTTCGGACTCGGGCGCGGTGGCTGCTGCCTGATCCTGGCCACGGGGGCTCACCCACCATCATCTGGGGGGGGACAAGAACCGTTCCAAGTAGCCGCTGATGGCGTCCCAGTGCTTCCACAAAAAGGCAATGAAAACCACGAGAAATAAAGTGCTGAACGTCCTATTGCGAGTCTTCATCAGGGGCACGACGCAGTTGGCCACGGTGGAGACGAAGACGAGCAGGACAGCCATGACAGCCAGGAGGATGTTGATGAACTTCCCCAGCAGGTTCCTGGCCGTGGCGTTCTCCAGCCCCTCCAGCTGTACCACTTGCTGCTGCTGCTGCTGCAGCTCCATCTTGGAGATGCGGGTCTGGCAGGCTTCCAGGGCCTCCTGCGGCAACGAGAGCACACGCTGGGGTGGCAGCACCACAGAGGCTGTGCTGGCACCACACCAGGCCAGGGCCACCCTCCCCTCACCTCTCCTGTGCCCAGCTCACTCCTGCAGAGGGGGCAGAGAGCTGTGCCCTTCCTGTGCCCCGGGGTGAGGAGCCCCTCACTGACAGGGCAGGCTGTAACACTACGGCACCTCAGCAGGCCCAAGGGGCTCTGCAGGGAGATGCCAGGGTGGGCAGATGTCAGGCCTTGCTCCAACACACCCTTCAGCTGCCACCTGGCACCATCAGCACCAGACCCTGCCACAGTGCCACGGCCAGCCCAGACCTGTGGGACCCACAGAGGAGGGTGTGACACAGCCTCTGTCCAGAGCTGGGGCTACCCAGCCAGCTCTCACTTCAGCTGCGGGTCACAGAGGCCACTGAGAGGACCGAGGTGCTGTGCCTAGTCAGAAATCTTTGCATTCTTCCCCTCCTGCAACATGCATTCCCAAAGACCGAGGTGCTGTGCCTAGTCAGAAACCTTTGCATTCTTCCCCTCCTGCGACGTGCATTCCCAGAACCTTCCACTTCCAGCACTTTGCTTGTGCTTCTCCAACCCCTCTGTAGAAAACTAGTTGAGCTGGCAGAAAACAAAGTCAACAAAAATAACAACCCGAGGCTCAGCTGTGTTCTGCTTGCTCTGCGCGCTGTGAGCTCAGGGAAGGGCTGAGAGCACCAGGGCTGGGGCTGCACAGCTGCTGTGGCAGGAGGAAGATCTCCCCCAGACTGCCACAAGCTGTGGCACTGGCACAGCTCCAGGTGACACTGCGAGGGCTGGGAAAGATGTCTGGGAGAAGGATAGGAAGTGTGAGATTTGTGGAACTGCCTCCAGGAAGAGGCAAAGCAAAAGGAGGTGGAAGCAGAACACTATCTTGTAGAAAACCACCTCTCCTGACTGGGGGGAGATTTTGTCAGACCTTTTCACCAGGCTGAACCTCAACTGGACCAACCTGACCTGCAGCAAAACACTGGCCACATGCAGCACCTGGGGCTAGGCAGAAGGGAAGAGGTTTTAAGGCTACTAACACAATTAAATACTTCTGTTCTTGAAGATATGGAGTTACAATTTTTCCACTAATCCTCCCTCAGAG